GTGCATATTTTTTCATTATTCATATAAGTTTCTTTTTATTTTATAAATACTAGCAGTTATTTGATTGATTTTGACCTTAAGAAAGAAATCTTGTTAACCACCCTAAAGATTGCTTCAGCTGAAAAAAAAAGTCGGCAGGCTTATCGCGACCTTAAGAAAGAAATATTATATTATCACCTTGACTAGCGTTGACTATTAGATTAGATTAGATTTTTAAAATGGGTTGGGAACTTGTCACCGAGTCACTGCATCCTTTGAGGATTATTGTGACATACCGACTTCAGTTGCATAGACGAGTAGCAGTTAAGAATGCCAATATGTCCTTTGGAGAGATGTTGCCTAATTCCGTTATATCCGGATAGGCAGTGGATAAGTACCGAAGTCTGAGTCTGGCAAGACTATTACAGTGACACAAAAAGTGTTCTGCTGTTGCGCTGACTATTACCTCAGCAGTAATAAGCGACAGTACACTTGTCTTTACAACTGATCCTAAGAAAAAAATATTACTTAACCATTTGGAAAAGTTCTGAGCACTATCTCAGTAGATAACATGCTCATCGTTATGATTTTAAAAGCAAGCTAAAATATTCATCAACACATTCAAGACAGTCTCAGATAACTTCTTACACTAAATAGAAGACTTATACAGCTTTTTCAACCTGACTTTCTGTCCCAATTTTAACATTCCTTAAAAAACTTAAGATCGATTAAGGCAACTATGATTAGTACAATAGATCACCGGAATTACGGTACCTAATAATCTCTTCTTAATATTAATAATTCGAAATTATTAAAATTTGATTTATTTATTCTTCTAAATATGATATGTATGTAAATATATCACAGAATCCGAGGACCAAAGAAAATATTTCCTTCGCCTTTTACACAAATTTAGTGCTTATATATATATTTATATATACTTTATGGTGAAATCAAGTTAAAATAATATTAGGTTAATAAATATTTGAATTTTTTTTCTAATTAAATTAAATCAAATTAAATTAATAAATTTAATTAAATTGCATTGATTTCAACCTTGTAACATTTTGATCTAAAATAAAAAAAAGAAATTATCACAAACATAAGTAATACTAATTGAATATATCTAATGAATGTTTTTAAAAACATAACTGAATATAACTCTCTAGATTAAATTTTTAATTAATCTTTTATTGTTAAGTTGCAACTATTAAAATAATTTTTATTAAATCGTTAAATCTAAAAACCTCAGCTAAAATCCGCGTATTTAAAAGATTTTATTGAGCACGTTTTTAACTGCGATTTCTACTTCACTGCAAGCAACAATTATTAATCAACTCGAGCTGAACTTGGGAAGTCTGAAATTAAGGGGCCTTGATATTGAAAATCTCAAGTCTCATGCGCTCGGTTCCGTACGTTGCGGTTTCTGCAGTTTACCGTCCGTCCAATCGTCGACACAAGTAAGGAAGGCACCCGAACGTTATTTCAATTTTGAATTTATGAGTAAAATTCAAAGTTTTGAAGAAATATTAAAAACACAACAAAACTCATTAAGTATAATTATAAAATAAAAAAAAAGGTTTAAATAATTAAAAAAATATGAATAAAAAATAAAAACATGGTCAACACGAATTATAAATTTGCATTGAACCAAGCTAAATTTAAAGTATGAGTACCAGTGAAAAAAATATAAACAATGTCCAAGGTCAACATTTATATATCACATATCACTATTTGTCTATCGAGATCTCGTAAATTTAAATAATTAAAATGTTTAACGTTACTTACCAATTCCGATGCGGATTTGGCACTCAGCGTCCATAATTTTGCAGAAACCTTACATGAATTGGTTTTAAATGCTTCAAAAAATAAAAAATAATTGGTAGTTTTTTTCAATAAATAACAGTTTGAAGTATTAATAATAATGAGTGGGTAATTCTATTGGAACATAATTATTTTTTATATCCAAATAATCGAAATAAGAATTTTACTACAATTACGTGATATTTTTTTTTTATGTTGTTTGTGAGATTTATTAATATTTATAGTATTACCACGAAAAACAACGTCATTAAGTTCATTTATATTAAATCTAACAGTTTTTGTCGACTTAACGTTTATGTATATACAAACATATTTTTTATATATATATAACAGTAAAATAAAGAAGTAGAATATACAGGATCTCTCAACAGAGTTTATTGCAAATGCTTTACTTACTTATTTAGGGAGACACGGGTGCACGAATACTATGGGTGCCCCCACCATTTATTAAAAACCAATATTTTTACCACACATTAAAGCACATACTTGAGAGGACTGGCATGACCCAGTGGGGTAATTCTATGGTGAAGTAGAATATATAGGATCTCTCAACAGAGTTTATTGCAAATGCTTTACTTACTTATTTAGGGAGACACTGGGGCACTAATGTTATGGGTGCCCCCAGCATTTATTAAAAACCAATATTTTTACCACACATTAAAGCACATACTTGAAAGGACTGACATGACACAGTGGGGTAATTCTATGGTGAAGTAGAATATACAGGATCTCTCAACAGAGTTTATTGCAAATGCTTTACTTACTTATTTAGGGAGACACGGGTGCACGAATACTATGGGTGCCCCCACCATTTATTAAAAACCAATATTTTTACCACACATTAAAGCACATACTTGAGAGGACTGGCATGACCCAGTGGGGTAATTCTATGGTGAAGTAGAATATATAGGATCTCTCAACAGAGTTTATTGCAAATGCTTTACTTACTTATTTAGGGAGACACTGGGGCACTAATGTTATGGGTGCCCCCAGCATTTATTAAAAACCAATATTTTTACCACACATTAAAGCACATACTTGAGAGGACTGACATGACCCAGTGGGGTAATTCTATGGTGCTTTCATTCAAAATCTAATAATATTGTATCTAATATGCAATAATATCTAATAATAGATTATTTCTTAAAATAATTCAATAATATAAAAATGACTGGAATAAAAACAAATTAATTTAAAATTATGAGACAAACGTTTTTAAAATTATAACGACTTCATTTAATTGCTGAATTTTCTATATGATACCAGAGAAGTTCAATCGTCGGCATACATCAAAAAGCTTGTTATTTTAATGATTTAATAGAACCATAAAAAAACTGTAACGTATAACTGATCGCCTCTTCACTATAATTCCATTATCTTCCATTGAAACATACTATTAATGAGTAAAAGCAGCAAACAATACAAATATTCTTTCGAGGGTGTCAAAAATGTTACATATGAAGCATTTTCCGCCAAAGAGTGATAAAGAAAGGTGTTAATTTAAAGAAAGGGGTACGCCCACATATCTATTAAAAATTATTTTCTTATGATATTTTTCCACGAGTGTGTGAAAAACTTAATGAATCCTAAACATTGGGTCGGAGAAATTAAACTATATACAATATACTATATATCAAGTCAAAAACTTTTTATATTTTAAAGAATGTTCTTATAAAGATCTCATTAGAGCGAGAAGCATTTTTTTTTGCTAATCACTTTAGACATCTGGTCAGTTGTGCTCTCATAACAATCTTGTAATCTTTATTTTTGACACCATAGCAGAAGGAACACTTTTTCTTATATAGTATTACTTGATGTGACTTGCATCCCCCGCGTCTTTGTATTTATGCCACTGTGTCAAGATATCATTATCGTAGGTTCGGTTTAGTTAATGTGGCAATTGATTCATTTGACTAGCTCACCTAAATCCTACACGTCCATTGTAATACCAATGTTCCGTAACCTTAACTATATTACTAATGAACCTATTTTAGATTATACGTTGAACACATCTGTAAAAGAACTAAAGACATGATGGCGTAAGAAATTTGTCCAGATTCTGGCTAGAACCGGGTGTCTTTAGAAGAAGTGTTTCTTCTTCTTCATTTTTACAAATTTTACAGTATTTATAGTAAAGAATTCGTTCCCAATCTAAGAGCAAATAAGTAGTGACTGAATATACAAGCCACTATCCTACATATATCGGCTCTTGTTCGGCTGAAAAAGTCTCCTAATTTTTTTCCTTCAAGTATTGGCAATATTAGCCTAGGTATAACACAAGTATATGAATTATAATAATAATAGAAAGAAAATATAATTCCTTGGGAATAAGAACTGGTTTGTTGCCTTTGTTAAGTTGAGTAACAGATTAATGCTTAAGACTTCAATTTAGTTATATAGATCATATTGAATATATTCAATTTTTTTTACTTCTAATCAAGTTTATTTTTACAGTTAATATCAAATATACAAATTTTTCATTGGGAAAAACGAATTGTTATTGGGTTTCTCTGTTCGTTTTATCGAACAAAGTTTACTAAAACAAAAAATCCGGAACTTTATTTTGATATCAGTTGTAGTATTTTTGTTGTCTTATATGGTTGGATCGTACTTTGTTCAATACCTTAATGATCGTGTAATCGTATATACGCAAAAAACTTTATCTATCACATTAGTATATCAGTAGTAGTGGAATGGTATATCAGCGATCCCCTTCCTATAGCTTTACTTTTAGATGTGGACTGGATTAAGTTGGATCCATACTACAATTGTTTGAGGCAATTATTCTAAAAGTAGCACTCAATATATGAAGAGGGCCCATTTGATCTTTAATAGTTTGTATTTTTTAACAGTTCGTGCGAGTTCCACCCTACAAACTTAATAATATTGTTTAAAATATATTTTTTATTTATGAGGAATAGATCGCCAGACATTATGGCCCATTTTACCAAATTCAAAAAAAATATTTATTTATTTTAAAATATTGCAAAAAGATCAATAAAAAGTTGGAATTGATGATATTCCATCATTTAACATACCATTTTATGGTTTTTCTATTATAAATTATGTACCATGTAATAAATTATTGGGTTTGGTTTAAATCATCAAAAAGCGTTTGCGTGTGTATTTTCATTTAACACTTTTATGCATTAATAATTATTTAAATATTTTTAACAATTTGTTTTCTTCTTCTTCAGTTTCGCAAAACCGTGTCCGACGTAATAAATGACAGTCATGATGACTATTTTCTCTTGCGTTGGCTGCGAGGTAAGTTCCAAAAAAAATAACGTTTTACAATCTCAGATAACGAGTTAAAACTTTAACGATATATTGAATTTAATAAAATTTAATTTTAGCGAGAAAATGGAATATCGAAGCTGCAGAAAAAATGCTAAGAGCCGTAAGTTTTTATGATTTTCCGAAGGAAAATTTTTAGCACATCTTTAATCTTTTCCGCCTCTTTTCAGAGTTTTTTAATGCGCGCCACATTGAACGTCGACAATTTGGATAAATGGGATGCACCGAAGGCATTAAAAGAATATTTACCATACGGATTAGTTGGATATGATAATGAGGGATCGCCAAGTAAGTGATTTAGTTAAACATAATTTTATTTAATTTATTTTATATTTAATATTTGACATTTATTTCGTAGTTCTCGTATGTCCATTCAAGCAGTTCGATATTTGGGGTATGTTGCACTGTGTTACAAGGCTTGAGTTTCAAAGATATTTGGTACTCTTGTTGGAACGATTTGTGCAAGCCGGCTATGAGCAAAGTAAAAAACATGGTCCACAAGCACGACAATTGGTGGTGTACTTTGATGTTGCTGATTTCAATTTAAAGCAATACGTATGGCGTCCAGCCGCAGAATGCATTATTTCTACAGTGCGTCAATATGAGGCTAATTATCCAGAATTGCTTAAAATGTGTTATATTGTGAATGGTTAGTGAAAGATTAACTTCAGTTAGTGAAAGTATTTCAAATAATTAAAATAATTTTTAATTTTTTATAGCACCTAAACTATTTTCGGTTGCCTTTAATTTTGTTAAGAAGTTCCTAGATGAATATACAATGAGCAAAATAAAAATCTACAAAACTGGTACTGATAAATGGAAACAAGATCTATTCACTCATGTCGATCCAAATATTTTCCCAAAATGTTTTGGTGGCAATTATGTGGATGAAAATGGCGACCCAAATTGTCCATCTAAGGTACGAGTTATTAAAGAATTAAATATAGAGAAAAAGTCACATTTTAATATAAAAATTTATAATATTTAAATGATCATTTTATATAAGTATTTCAAATATTATTCGAGCTCTTCTACGCTTTCAACATATAAATATTCTATAGTATAGTATTCGATTTGTTGTTGTTTTTGTAACCCGTAGAAATTTATAAAGCAGACAACCTGAAAGAAATTCAAGTAAAATACGCGAGGACCTGCGTGTAAAATCCCTTTCGGGGGTGTTAAATGGCACTTGGTTCTTCAAATCAGCGAATGGCTCTGGGGTGTAGATCCGGGGCTGTTCTTGAAAATATTTTGGAACTCAATCTGTTCGAAACTTCCAAGATTTTGATACACAAGCATGCGGGTCAAACATATCAACACATTCGATTATATTCGAATAGGTTTCAACAGCCAGGTCTACGCCTCGAAGCCACTCGTCAATTTCGACGCGAAGGGAATTTTAAAAGCAGGTCTTCACGGGTAACAACAACATTATGTTTGAGCAGTTTATTATGTTCAAGCATTGGATTTAATATAAAATGAAACATCTACTGATTTGATATTCGAATGGCTTATACATCATCCAGCAGCAGAAATATTTTAAAACATTTATGTTATGAATCCAACTTTTTCAATTTACGAATATTTGAACTGCTTGCACATCGAATAACTCGAAGCAGTATTATATAGAATAAACCCTTTTATGGTTTTGAAGTAAACATAATTAAATTTCGAATGAAATATAATATCCAACAAATGTTCTCCGCGGTACTTCCTACGATACTTGATCTTTTTGGATCAAGTTGCCAATTATGTATTGACTATTTTTTGATAACTAGTTTGCACAGAGCTGGAATGCTTGTTTTCAAAATCTGGAGAGTTTAAGAATTGGTCGCCTAAGCACGGTAGTTTGCATAACCCCACAAATAAAAGTCTAGTAGCGAATTTACACTCTTAAAACGTGGAATTATACGTCCGGGAAATTTTTCAAGCAACAGAATCAAAATGGAAAAAATATTAATAATTATGTGGTTGTAGCGATTGACAATTAATGCTAGATCTTCGGCTTTTTCAAAAAAGTTCGGGTCCGGTTTATCTCCAAACCAATTGCTACACCATACAGTGTATGTTTTTCAATAGTTAGTTATGAATTTCCAGATCTGACAATTTAGTTTGTTGACATATTCACCAAGCGAAGATAAGTTTCATCACTAAAAAAATTGGGATACAAGAAATCGTCACCATTTTGTAGTTAGTTTACAATTTCAACTCGTTCAGCGGTTGTTAAACGATAGTATTGTAAAATATAAAATTTAATTTAAACATTTTGAAATCTGCGTTTTAGATAGTTGATGGCTGTAACGACTTAATTTATTCATTATTTTTTAATAATGATTATTATTTAAAATAATAATCAGATTTCTACTATGTATAATAAATATTTTTTTTAGATTATTTGGGCTGGTAAAATACCGCAAGAAATGTTTGTAGAGCAAAATACTGAAGATGATAAAGACTTTACGGAGGCTATAGTCACAAAGGGCAATAAATTAAAATTAGAATTTGATGTAGCTGAGAAAAACAATAAGGATCAAATACTTTCCTGGGATTTCCGTACATTTGACTATGATATTAAGTTTGGTGTTTATAGCATTGACAAATCTACTGGTGAAAAGCATAACGAAGTAGCATTGGGAACTGTTTTTTCCAATGAAATGGATGAAATTGGTTTTATTTCCACAAGGCCAAATACCAAATGTAAATATTATTTTTTTATAAATAAAAATATAATAAAAAATATTAAATATATTTTATTTTACAGATACTGTAGTTTTTGACAATTCTGGTAGTTATTTACGCAACAAAAAAGTTCGTTATTGGGTTTCTCTTGTGGATGAAGTTGATGATATTACGGAACTTTCCGCACAGGTAGAGAAAACTGCTCTAGTGACGAAAGAAGACCTTGCGTAAAATGTCAATAGACATAGACATTTGTTAGATTTTTTGTTACTGTTGGAACGCATTATGATGTACTTAGAAATGGTTTTGGAATCAATAATTAAAAAATTTTATGGTTTGCATTCCTTAGCTAGCTACACAATTTTAATATAAGATGTATATTGTATAATTGAAGTCATAGTATAAATTTTTTTGGCACTGAGTATTGTTGAAACAATTGGTTTTGAATGATCTTTTCGTAAATGTAATGTATGTAATGTATAAAAGTAATATAATGTAATGTATTAAAAAATGTTTATATCTGGGGTCTTACTTTGGAGTTCTTTAAATGTGTATGTGAAGAACTAGTTTTTGTGATAACTGTTATTATTTTTTAAATATGGTTTAATAGTTTTAATTTTAAATATTAAATAAATTTATGTTTTATACAAACAAATTAATTTTTGTTTTTAGTAATAAACTAAAATAAATCATTAAGATTAATATAATAGGTTATATGTAATGATTTGATTTATATTTTGTATCAATGTATTAGTACATGTTTCATGGTTTATGGTTTATTTGATATTAAATAATATTATAGTTAATATTGAAAATATTGTTATTAATATTATTGTTTTTTATTACATAATTATGATATATATTTTTCGTTAAACATAATTTTTATGATGCATTTATATTTTTATATGGTTTTATTATATATTATAAAATTTGATATTAATTAAATTATTGATATTATATATTAAATTAAATAGTATATTTTAAATTAAATATTGTATATAAAATTTGTTATTATTTTATTGTTATGATATTTATTATTATGTATATCATTTAAATATTTTTATGATTATAAATTATGTTGTTGTTGTAACCTAAAGACTCTTAAAGTAGAAATTTAAATAGATTACAATATGATACACGGATTAAGAAGGGGTATAAAGAGGGTAATGGGGCATGAGATAGAAGATTATAAGTGTCGGTGAGGTGCTAATTGAAACTTGCCTAGGGTACGTTGGAAGAACCTTGCCATTTCGACAGGATAGAGCTGGAGATCAATACGACGTAAATTGGAGTTAAGTCAAATAAACATGGGCGACATATGACTTGAGCTACAATTTAGGCAAATATTGAGAATAGTTGTTTATTTGTCCAAGTAACTGTTTAATTCGTGGCTATATCCTGACTTCAATTGGACAATAAAAATCTTCGCTGCTCGTCTTTCATCATTACAAATTTCAGGTAGATATCTGTTAAAAACTTTATTGTAGTCTTTTCTGGTATATGGTTAGAGACGGCATTCCGTCTAGTGAAGTATCTAGTGTAGTAAAGTAATGTATATTATGTTTATATTAAATTTATTATTAAATTACCATTTTTATTGCACTTTTAAGAATAATATTTACACTGTTTTGTTATTATCTTGTGTTTAAATTATAAATATTGCTTAGCTTTTTTTATTTTGGGTTAATATTATTATAATATTTTATCTCTTTTTTTATTTATTGTTTAATAATAGAATATAATTTATTACCGTATATACATATATTCCATATATATTCTATACAATATTATTAATTTTACACTTTGTGCAAATATTATTTTCTTTTTCTTAATTTTGTTTATTATGTCTAATGCACGGATAAGCGTTACTGTAAAGACGAGAAATTAGTCCTTAAACCAATGATAGTGATTTGCTAATATATTAATATTAGTACCTTAATACCTTATTAATACCTATAACATATATTTTTAAATAATATATCTTCTTAAACAATATTTGTTAAAAAATTATTGAATAGTATTTATCAATATTCATTATTGAATAGTATTTATTAGTAAATATTTATTAATAAATAATATTTCTCATTAAACCACTTATTTTATTTTATTACATTATTTTATTCTTAACTTTTTTTTTATTGTAGTATTTTTATTAGTATAAAAAATACAAATCTCTCAAATTTGTATTTTTTAAAAGTATCTAGGTTTATATTTCGGAGCGAAAACATAAGAATATCAGAACTTTAAAAAATATATTTTCCGCCTAAATAATGAATGTATATCGAAATTAAAAAAACTATATGTTTTAATTTCTATAATAGTTGTTAAGACTTATGTGAATATAAAAAATGATTAATTTTTATTTAATTTATTATTTATATAAGAACTTATATTAAATAACTAAATGAAAATTAATTATTAGTTTTCGTACTTTCACATATGTCTTGTTAATAATTACACAAATTAAGAAATTATCGTTTGAAAAGAAATTAAATTGGCTGTAAAAAATATCTCTTTCCAATAATTATATCAACTTTTTAAATATAAACTTTATATATATGAACTTTATATTAATTTTATTTTTATAAATATATATGCAATCTCTTAATACAATTGTTATATAGTTTGATGAACATTCTTTCACTTAAGCAAATTAAATAAATATATTAATATCAATTTAATATTTACTTAAACTAAATTTTAATTTCTAATGCTAAAAATCAGTTTCTGTATTAATATATATGAATCTTCAAAAATCAATTTCTTATATCATATATTATTATACAGTTTTTATTACAATTTAAAACTTTTTATTCTTATATTATTAATAGCAAACAATACTAATTGACATTTATGAAACAATTATTAAATATTTTATTATCTTAATATTGAAATATTTTATAAAAATGATAATACTTTAAAATAAATTGGGAAGTTAATATTTTTTTAAACCAAATATATTGTTTACGGAATAATTTTTCAAATTGAACTAAAAAAAATATAAAAATGAAATGTTCAATTTTATATCGCAAATTATTAAATTAATTCAAATACTAGACAAATTATTCCAAAAAAAAAAAATTAACATATAAAATTTTTTTTCTCATAATATTTTAAAAATATGAAACCACACTTTATAAGCACATATAACATATTAAAAATATATAAGAAAAAAGTTAAAACACTTTTAAGACATTTTAAATTAATTTGTGGAATATATTCAAAATACCCGATAAAATTTACTATTGACTTGACATTTCAAATAAGTTTTTAACATAGACAATTTTTAACGCGGAAAACCTTTCCTATAAAAAATTTTAATTCTTATTTATAATTTTTATGGTTTTAGAAAATTTTTTTGTGCTTAACGCTTACTAATAATGTATACATAATTAAATTTTTTAATATTTTCTCACGCTACAGTTATGAAATAATAATTTCACTTATACCACATTTACTGAATATCGATTTTATATATTTATATAGATAAAGTTATTCTGCATAATTTTTCCACAAAAAATCAATTTAGGTTTTTACTTTATAACTAAGCTTATTCTCAAATTTTTAAGTATGTTAATCAACACATAGTCAAGTCAAACAACACACCAAACGTTTACTCCACAAATTAATTTAAAATTACACAAATAAGTACAACTATTTTGATTCTTTACGTGATTTACATTAAATGATATCATGTTTATTTTACTCACTACTCGTATATATATCCTATTATACTTCATATATTCATATATAGATGTGGTCTAAAATAATCTAGTTGATTAGTATATATATCTAATTATAGCATTGTGATTAGTTGATACATTATAATATAGACAGGACATAAAATACACCAAATCATAGTTTAAAATTCGAAAAAAAAATTAATTAGTAAAATAATAAAGAAAAATTATAATTATAATTAAACTTGCCGCGTACTGTGTGTCATATTACCATTTGACGTGCGGCGCTTACGCCTTCATCACTGTTGACCCTGATTTTGACCCATTTGTGGGTAACCAGGTCCAACTTGTTGTGGACCAACTTGTCCTATTGGCGCCATTGCTGAAAGCATCATAGGATTCGGATTTGCACCGACAACGGGTCCCATTCCTTGTCCAATAGCCTTATAACAATTTAAAAGAAAACAACATTTTTATATATAACAAAATAAAAAAAATAAAAACATCTACTTGATTTTGTGGAGGACCCTCGTTTGGCAATTGTAGATTTGTTAGTAAATCACGTACTGCAGGAAATAGCGAACATTGTCCATGTTGTGCACTAAATTCGGAGAAGCGGCGAAGTAAAGCACTAGCTGCATTAGCAGCCGTCGAAGGTCCTTGTTCACGCCTTTCCGCCAATTGTGTGATATTAGAGTTTAAGTCGTATACCATAGGAAGTACTAACGATGGGCTCTCCTTCCAATCTTTACTATTATAAGGTATACGCGTAATTTGTAGCTAAACAAAAAGAATACCATATTAATTCATTTATTTTTTCTTTAATATAATAATATTTAACTTACGAAGAATAAGATTTTCAGTTTACATATCAGCACACCTGAATTACCAACTGGTACGATTGGTGTAGCTGTCGGTGGTACCCGCATACAAAACTGCACTGTCCATTTCAGTTGATCACCACCTAATTCCGGGTTCATTTCCAAACGCATAATTTGCACAAAGTCCTTAAGGACTTGTGGTGCACAATTCAGTGCACGAGTGAATCCACTAAGTGCGTTGGGACGATAAGGTGATACAGCAACGCGTGTATCAAAGAATTGTTCAAGCGTAAGCAAATCATCCGGAGCCAATTGAAACGGATGTTTTCCATCTGGTGTAAGTGGTGCTGGTAATTGTGTAATTTTTAAGTGTAGAGATTGCATGTGCAGTTGATTTAATACCACTTGACATTGTAGCCCATCCACTTTGAAGAGCACTACACCAGGTTCCGTAGAATTAAGTGCCGTCAATGTTTCATCGCTCTGTATATTGCGATGCAGTTGTCGACGCAAGTATACACAACCAAGAAAGCGTTCAAGTGGACTTATATCCGGCACATTTATATCTTTATTAGGATGTGGACTTGGCCGACAAATTGTATCTAATGCTTCATGTGTGAGCAATGTAGGTGTGGCACCAGCCCAAGAACGGTTAGATGGCACACGTGACATAGCAGATGAGGTATTTGTACCTGCCGCAGTACCACTACCAGATTTATGTTCAGGACTTTGGCCTGGTCTGGGAGAAGGCCGTGGCATGCTTGGTGAACCTGGCCAATTGGTGTTAGCTGGTGACATTGCAGTAAACGGTGAATCTTGGTGACCTTGCATGTAGAGTGTATTCGGTCCTGGACTGTGAACCATATGTGGGCTTGGTTGTGGGTTAAGTGGTGAAGATGGCATTAAACCACCACCACTAGGTGATGGATGTGGCATATGCGGTGCTGGTGGTGAAGTTAAATTAAAGTTGGGATGATTTTGTCCAGTATTAGTAGTGTTGCCAGCCACTGGATGTGGACTAGCCGGAGTATGTGGATTAGATACTGTAGGTGGTGTATGTGGTGCAGGAAAACGTAAGGAACTGTCACGCGGTGATTGAGGACCACGCATTCCTGAACTTAAGAAAGGCGAAGAACCACCAGCGCCGGCACCAGAAACACTGCTAGGATTATTGAAATTATCCTCTAAACCTACAGGTGAAGGAGGATTATCGTCTTCATTTTGAGAGCGGCCACGATATGCAGTATTTTCGTCAACATATTTAGACAAAAAGCTCTAAGATTGTTGTTTATATTTAATAAAATAAATTTTTAATGAACAAAATTAAAAATGTACTAACCTTTAAGCCCTGTATGGGTGTGAATTCATCAATGAGGTTTCGATCAAAACGACTGTAGGCACCATCACGTATCGCAACTAATCTGCCTGATCTAAACCGTATTTCTATACAATGCATCGCTTGAAACGCCAAACGTATAATGAATGGTGACTCTGCTATTATGCAAAATGACAACACAGGTACTTGAGGTCGCTGTAAATAAATACAAACATGTTTTTTTTTCCATTTCAAGTGGTTTACTTTAAATCGATATTAGCTGTAGACTTACCGGTATGCCCAAAAGCGGTATAATTGGTAATTTCGATATAGAGCTTAATGGATAATAACTTTCATGTAGTATGTAAATAATGTGTACTAGGCTATATCTGTTATTTAAATGATTTTCCAATTGTTCACGCATAACGGAATGTGCATTCACAGCTGAAATACCACCAACGAAGATTAAACGAAAACCATTTGTATTTGGACACCAGAATATGTTGAAAGTTACTTCTTTTTTTGGGCCGTAGCCAATCAGCAGGTTCAAGTAATTATATGATTTAATACTAATCATATCTGCTATATTCAGTCGTTCTACAAAAGTATTAATTAATGAAATTGTTATTATTAATAATAATTATTAATGAATTCAAGCATTTTAAACATTTAAATCGAACATTTGTTTCGAAAACTTTATATGTTTGACCTGCTCGAAGGTATCCAAACATTAAAATGCTTAAATCTGCGTAACATTTAAATCGAGTAATATTTAAAAGTCTAATAGTAATGTGATCTTACTGTTTTTGAAATACTCTGCAAAATCGTAAACAAGTGTGTAAAGGTAAACAATTTTAGACCAATCATTAAGCAAATCTTTTACTGTCTTCGGAAAATTATTGCTTGTTTGTTCATAAGTCAAGTAAACAGTACGTCGAGTGCCTTGCTCTTTTTGATGTGTACTTGGAAGCGGTGTGCCATTAAATGCGATTTCCACTATCCAATGACGAATTAGATTATTTTTGTTCATTTGTGAACGTATGCCTATTGATATAAGGCGTTTAAGTAAGTCCTGCCACACATGTTTTTCAATAACTGGCAAAAATTGAGCATTATTCTGTAAATCAATTTAAAAATAATATTAAATTTATTCCTTTATGTTTTTTATATTCATGTGAGTAAATTACCTTTTGCTCGCCTTGTGCTTGCGATCCGGGCATTGGTAAGGACAACAACTTAAGTACAAGAGAAGTAGCATTTGATTCAACTTGCAAATCGCTATTAGGTATATTGTGCAAAGAGAACTGATTTGATAAATTAAAGAATGGTATCTTTTCATCACACATTGCTACTACATGCGCTAACTCAGGTATAAAGTAAGCTGGATAAATCGTTTTCTGCTGTTTTGGTGATGGACCAGCGAGATCATTTGATTTACGTTTATTTGTTTGAGCTAAAAATAAATAAAAGAAGAAACTATTAAATAAAAAAAACAAGCATAACTTTGCTAATGAATTCTTTACCATGCACTTGTGTGCCAGGTCCATGGGTCACTACGAACGTATCAAACTCAATGAGGCCATCCAGATGTGTATAAAGTTTAGGTAATTCCGATTGTTGTGTTTGTTTGCTAACCGGAAGCTGGCTTGATTCTTCTGAGCTTATATCATTTTCATTTAGTTGATAGGTAATAAAGCCAAGGAAAAAACCATATTCCATTTCATTAGGCATGCTCTCCTTCTCTTTTAATTGCACCACCTAAATAATAAAAAAATTATAATCAAATATATTAAACTGACAATAAGCACATTACGTACCAGTACAACAGTTGGATGACGATGTAGTTTCACAAATATTTTATGCCGGCCTGGCATTAGTAAAGTATTGTCCGGTTGAACTAAGAATGTTAGGTTTTGGTTTACAGTGGCCGGGAGGTGTTGCAAAGTTTTTTCACAACGGCGATGTGTAATCCAAAATCTATTTTAAAACAGAAACATAATATGAATTGAATATAAATCTTATATTATTGAGATATAAACAAGAATTTAGTATAAAAATAACATGGGTTCATATGAAGAAATGCTACGACTTGGATGGACCGTGTTCGTGATCTCAATTTCGATATACTGAAATTCAGTAAAATTCTGAAAAATTTATTAAAAATCACGAAAGAGTGATAATTACTATATTATTTAGAGAGAAATTTAGAAAATATTGTAATACAGAATTTTACAGAATAAATCAAAATAAAAATAAACGAATTTTTTTACTAAAGGCAATCTACATGAAAACAGCAAAAAAAGGGGTTGACGTTGAGATATGGTTAATTTTTCAGATGTAATGAAGTCTTAAAATTAAAATAAGGCCTGCACTTATTGACCCACTATTTTTAACACACACTCTCAACATTAGCAGACAGAAAACTTTGTCAGTCCCCGTTGGCAAAGGTATGCAGAGACGATAAATTGCAGAGCTGGCTTTAAATAAAAATTTGACACTACTCAAGTTTACACATAGATCTTTCGTCTGGCCACTAGCGTTAGATCTGGCACATTCGTATTATTTTTTGTAGCGGTTTTTCTAAGGTACAGCAATTTAGATTTTAAGTACAAAGCTTTAACATATTAGATCAATTATGCGTATTTTGCTTACTTTGTTGGCAACATAAGGGTTACATGTATACTGAGCAAAAGGTTAGAAATAATGATAAGATAGAACAGAAATCGGTAACTCATCTTTTTTTGCTTATATGATTATCATTCAAGAACTGTTATGCTTTGGAACATTTGATTAATACTCCAAAAACTACAATATAATTAACGTATCAACCATAATTTAGCATACCTTCTGCACAAAAAGTATCCGGATTTTGTTTGTTAACTACTTCTTAAGTAATAGACCTTTTTCAAAAAATTTTTTTTTGTTATTTTTTGTTATGTTGGAACACCCTTTCTTGACATATGGTACAGCAGTTACCAATTAGTTTGTTTACAGCAGCTGTTAATGTGAGACTACCTAAAGTGCATTTAGCGTTTTTTACTATGGAAAATTCTTGTTGTATACAATTTTTTGACAAAACACGGCACCACTGTCATCGCTCAGGCACCATATTCGCCAGATCTGGATCCGTGCGACTTTTTCCTGTTACCGAAACTCAAATTGCCCCTTCGTGGTAAGCGTTTTGAGTCGATTGAATCAGTAAAAGAGAATTCGCTGAAGGAACTAAAAGCTATGCCTTCACGGGCCTACGAAAAGTGTATGGAAGATTGGGTTAAGCGTTGGCATATGTGTATCGCTTCAGAAGGAGCATATTTTGAAGAAGATAAAATAAATTTGGAATATAATTTAAATTTGTGTGTTTTATTTACAAATTCCGAGTACTTTTTGAGCAGAAGAACAATTCTGCTGATAACTTAAAGAGTAATAACCAGCTTTTTTTTTTACCACAACTACTGAAAATTAACACTATCCAACTTTTATTTACTATGCACTGTTACATATGTGTTGTAACATAAACTGATGATGTGATTACATCGAACTATTAAAAATCATTAACTATTAAAAATCAGTCTTATGATGGAAACACTTATTTTAAAATTATGTAAAACATTAAATATACACTCTTTTGGAAAACTATTCCTTGTGGATCTAAGGATATGTGAGTAGATATCGTCATTAGTATTGGTGATTCAAATTTCAATCATTAATAAACAGTTTATATCATGTCTAAATATGCTCATTTATAAACATATAACAAATTTAACTTAAGCTGAACTGAAAACTATTTTAAAATCAGTGTGTATATGTATATTTCTTCTTCTTGTATTATAAAGAAGAAATTTCTAAAACAGGATAAGTGTTCTATAATGAATATCATTCATGAATATATATGGCTTGTAATTATATACGATGCGACATCGGACAAACGAATCTTTATTCATTTAATTTAATTTGAAACTCTAATCAAAAACATATTTATTTAGTTGCTCTTTTCAAAAGCGTTAATAATTTAGCAAGTGAAAGATAAAGATTTAAATTGATATTTAAACAGATAAAATTTTTTCAAAATATTAACAGGCTTTCAAATTCTTAAAATTAAATGACATGAACGTTTAAGATTACTTGAACGTAAATCTAAATTTATAAGATACCTAAACAGTTTTTGTATTCTTTGCTCTAAAGTACTTACCTTAACTCTGACATAAGCGGACCCAATCGACTATGATCACCGTTGAGAGTTGCTTGCATTTCAGCCATTATAGGACAATCTAAGTGTTTTGGTACATGGCAGCGTAACATGCCAGTGTGCGTGTCAATGGTGATATGAATTTGTTCAGCTCGTAAACAAGGCGTGAGTACAGGTACTGTTAGATATGCTGGAGTACCTTGTAAGTTACCTATAATAAAAATGCAAAACATTTTTAACAAAATATTTTTACTTTTGATTAAATTATACTTACAATCGACTTCTTTTAATAAACTTTGGAATTCCACCTTTAAATCGCTTAGACGTGAAACTGAGCGTATGTAAACAGTATGCACAATTAAACGTTCCATTGAAAGATGATCAGAACGCACGGCTCTATCGGCTACCTCTGCAGTATCTTTAGCACTTAATGATGGTACGTGTACAACAGCTAGAGGACGTCCTGCTTCTTTGCCATCTGATTGCACAGTCAAACGATAACCAAGTTCCAATTTATTGTCTTGTTTTGTTAGTTCACGCCAATATGAAATTGTTATTTTCACACCGGGAACATACTCCTCAACGCTAATATTATCATCTAAACGTTCGTAACTGAGGCGTAATGACTGTGTATATAACACTTCCAATTGCAGAGATTGACAAAAGTAGTGCAAACAATTATAAACTTCGTTCAATGCATTTGGATTTTCCACTAGACGAGCCTGTATAAGTTGATGTATATAGCTTACTTGTAATGGATGCACAAGAGGTTTACCATCTAATGGAATTAATAATATATAAGTATTCCACAAATATATAGATTAGGTACTAACCGCCAGTTTCCTTGTCTTCAACTAACACATCAATATCTAACAAACGCCACGGTACACTTGTACCATCGCCCATAACTGTTAGGGCGACATTGAATTCATGTTTGACAGCAAAAATAACACGACCATTCTTAATCTATTTGAGTTGAGTAATCAAAATTAAAATAAAATATTTTACATATATTATCACAATTTAGAGTTCACCTTAAACTCTCTCATCTGAGGTAGAAGTTTACCGGTTACTAGTCTATGTTGTATGACCTGGTTTAAACGTAACAATGTTTGTTTCTTTTCTGACGGTGTTATAGGATCAAGCGGCACAATACGTTCACGTATGCAAGTGGGCATTCGATTAAAAGTACCAGTAGTTAAGACTTCCACTGCAGCGGGCAGATGAAAATTTGGTAAACGTGACCGTACAAGTGTTTCACGTGATGTGCGTGCCAACATATCGGCGGTTTCTACAAAAAGCATATTTTGTTTGTCCAAGAAACTCATAATGTTCTATACATAAACAATTTTAGAGAAAAAAATGAGTAAGACAATATTTAAAGTATGGAAACTATTAGTGGTAAATGAAAACTCACCGCTGACTTGTCTACTTTTGATACGGAGTTCGCCCATTTCACTAATGCAATTAGACGCACAAATAGTTGCCGTGTACGCGAGGAAAAATTATAAATTTCAATCTTACGTTCCATATCAGTTTTCCTCGGCAATCTAAAAAAATAAACAATATTAAAAGTGTTTGCTATTAATTTGACTCATGAATATTTACAATTCTGCCAATACGGTAAGATCGTGATAGGTACGTTGTGTGATAAACTCCATCAGAACTGATAAAGATATTGTATTCATACGAGCGCCGCCTTCCTGACCTTGCGGTACATAATTTGTCATTGGGCCTCCGACGCCCTCAAGGGGCTGTGGTGCTGGTGCCATATTGTTTGTCTAACTGTTTTTATTTCACAATATATGTTTCGTGAGTGACGAGAGCCTTTACCACTTTGGCAAATTATTTTTTGATTTTTGCAGAAAATTTATATTTATTAGAAGTGCCGTAAAACTTGTAATCATTTGAAAATAAATATTTGCAAAAATATTTCGAATACCGCTGCGAAATTGCGATTAAACTTTTTTAACAAAATATGTGCAAGCGGTATTTGATGTATGCGTTGCTTGTTGACGTTTCATAATTGAAAGTGTTCAGAAATCTGACAGTTTGCTGGTCACCCCTAGCGGTGACTAGATAAACTGAATTTTCTTCTGATTAGAAGGCAGTTGAAAACATATGGTTGCCGGCATATTTTCAATTTTGTTTTTTACACTAAAAAATTTAAATTTTCTTATATAATATTACAGCATTATGTTGAACATATTGTAGTTTTTAAGGTAAAAAGTTCTTAAAATGACTTCACTAACGGTTGCACTGTTTAATTCCAAAGCGATATAAATTTGTTATTTTTTAAATATATATATGTATTTGCTTATATATGTAATATGTATATATATTATTATTATTATTTGCATACATATATATACTTTTATATATTTTTTAATATTCTCCTAATCATTTCGTTAACATTACAGACAAAAATTCTATTTATTTACAATTTTGCTCTTATTTGACATTTCAGAAGTGGTCAGAAAACTGGTACGGGGCAACTCTAGCGGGCAATAGTTACCTGTCAGTGCACATGATTTTAGTGGTTATCAGCATTTTTCGCGGTTTTCTAAATCAAGATTGTACATGGCCTATATGTGCGAGTGCTAGTTTGAGTAAATTGAGGTAAAGTAAATTGAAATTTTCTAGAAATTATTTGCACTGCACTTATTTACCAATTTACCTCATAAAAGTATACGAGTTCGAGTAAATTGATGGTCATTTTGACAAGTGACATTAGCTGTTAATATGTTTTGTTTTGTAAACTTTTTGAAATGGCCAACGAAGTCATCTTATTTAATAAATTTTTAGAAATTTTAAAAATAAGTAGAAACCGCCTTTTAATGGCCTAAGAATTATTATAAGCAGAATATCCAGAAGTATGTGTAAAATAATATCAGTAATTATGTAAGCTAACTACATCAACGCGGACTGCTGTATCAAGGCGGATATTCGACACAAATATTTGAATTGGTAATTCGATTTTAATATAAATATCAAAATTGATATAAATAAATGAATTTAATTTGATAAATTAATAAAACTAATTTTAACATTATAACAGTATTTTTATTTTTATGGAAAACAACTATGAACGTATGAATTTGTTTGGACAACTCTGTTATATATAAAAATAGCTTAATTTTCGGAATATCAGAGTTTAAACTTGGACATTTCCACATAAAAACCACCAACAACAAATACATGCACCAATCGTTTAAGTAATTAATATAAAAATCCTTATATAAAAACCTCGATGTGTCGAGAAGTGTGGTATATCAATATGCTATTTCTAAAAAAGTAGCAAGTGATAGGAAATTTAAATTATACCAAAATAAAAAATTCCGAATATACAATACATAATCAATAGATACGTAAGAGGATCTAAAGTGAACACTTCTTAATATTGATATCTTCAATTGTATTGATATCTTCAATACAATATTTTGTATTTATACTTTAAAATAATTTAGTGTAGAGCCACCGATTTTTTTAATAAAGTCAAAGGTCAGAATTTTTTTATAATTCTCATACAGAACTTCCTTACACACAAAAGCTCTCTCACATGCATTAATCAAGTTATGTCAATAGAAACGATGAAAACTTAATTTGATTAACATAAAATGATTTAGCTGCAGTGGGAATATGGTATTAAAAGCAGATTCAAACATCAAAATGTTCACATTTCAAACAATGTCTAGTTTAAATCAAATATCAAAAACGGACATTTAAAAATGGAGTCATATAAAACTGGGTATTTAGCTTTGATTGAGAAATACATAGTACGATCAAGACTACTGTTTATGAACCTGCATCACTTTGTACTTACATAATTTAATGGTTTAAAATAGTGATATAAATATAATTCGAACTGTTAAAAGCTCGAACATTTTAATGTGCAAAGCAGAGCGAGTTACATATATATATATTCGAACACTATATGATGCTCTAACATTAGTATGAAATAAACTAATAGTATTTTCGATTAGTAATTGTCTTGGATTTAATATAGATTTACTCTTGATCTGTTGAAGTTTGTTGCCCAATCAAACATTTTTAAAGTATTCTAACATTTTTTGTAGTAGTGGTGTATAAAGACATTTATATTTTTCATAAATACCTATATTGAATCAATTCATGTATTTTTTATTAAGTCATATAAAAAAGCTGTTAATTTCAGGGTTAACTTGCTACTCTGGCAAAATATCTAGAGTGTTATAAATAAATCTCAAGTGTTATAGGTTTCACTCGCAATCTACCAATCGAAAATGAAAATTGTACTAAAACTGAATCTTGATTGAAATAGTTACCCTAGATTTAATAATCAAATACGGCATTAGAATGTTCGAGAATATTGTACACTATACATGGCCTCTGATATCTTCATTACTGCTACAGAAAGATGTAGTCTTTCACAAAACTAACTATTATTAGTAATAATATTATTACCAATAATATGTAGTTTTATGAAAGACTACATTTTTCTATGGCATATGGTACGAGAAATTAAACATATATAAAAAAAATGAATGAAATGTGTATAATAATTTACTAAAGCATAAAAGTGCTGTGTAAAATCATTTTTTTATCAAGTGAAAGAAAAATTGTAAATATTTGATGTTTGTTTATAATGATTGAGCGTTTTCACTCAAATTACATTTTATATTAATATAGACTATTAAAAAATTAATTGCATGTTTGGAATCCTCTTTCTTATTCCCTTACTTCTAACCAATTTGCATTTTTTTTATTTTGTATTCAAGCTTAGATTATGCTGACTATTTTTATTTGAATGCAATTGTGCCAATCGAAAATGAAAATCGTACTAAAAGTTAATCTCTATTGAAAAAGTTATCCGAGATCTATCAATCGAAATCGGCATCGATTGCAAGTTGTTCGAATACATTCGAATATGTTAGCTGGAGTATTTTCGAACATTTGGATACACTTTAAAGCTTTAGTTTGAAATGCTATGAGTTGCAAAATTGCTACTGTCGTTCATAATGGGTTAAATATTTTTTTAATATTTCCACAGTGAACTTTTCTATTTACGAGATGATAATAAAAACGAAATAATTTAGTTAGTTTCGTGCTGAGGGAGCGAATGAACAGGTGTGCTTTGTTTTTGCTGCTAAATAATAACTAACAATATATTTCAGTTATTTGTTAAGTTTTTAAATAGTAATTAATGCATAAAATAAGTTATAAAATAATGTTAAAAATATAATTGAATATAAGGCAATATATTTCTAATAAATGAATTTGTGAAATTCAAATGAAAAAAATTATGTTTGTAAAAATTATACAAAAGAAAAAAAAAAACTTCAACTCAAGTCAACCTGAAGATAGTACGACACTGAAGCTGATAAGATAAATCAAGGCTGAGATAAAATGAAAACAGTTTAATTGAGATAGTGCAAATGTGGTATAGAAGTGGAAAAATAAAATACTAAAATAATTTATATATAAACAAATATATATATATGTGTTATTTTGAAATATTTAATCAAGTAAAATTTTAATATATGCACGGCAACATTAGATTCCGTTCCATAGAAATACGGAAACTTGATCATTGAAAATATATAATTTCCTTTAATCTTAATTTCGTTTTTATAAAAATAAAATAGTTTTTTATTTATAAAAAATATCTATTGTATAATTTTATTTAATCAAAGTTTTAAATCTAAACTACGTGAGATATTTCCGCACAGCAAAATCGCCAAATTAGTGAACTGAAATAGTCAGTGGCATAGAACATTGCAATTTGAATAGAAACCAAATAAATTAAAAGCAACAACACATAAATATATCAACAAAAAGAAATTTTTTAAAATTTAAATATAAATATATATATATAGTATATGTTACTATATACTACTACAGGTGAGTGTAGCGAAGAGGAAACATAAAACGTGACATACTAACGTAGCGCAACAGGTGAACTCAAACGGCGACAAACTTTATTTTTATGGTCACAGATAAACAATTTTTTTCGAGGCAACTAATTACTCCATGTTCCGAGTAGACAAGTGCAAAGTATAGAGACTACCATAGACATGAATTGTCATATACCCGTACATTATGACTTCATTTGGAGTCATTAGAATATTATCGAATGGCAAGAGTTAACACAAAAAATGAGCTTGAACAGTTGAAAAAGTGACACAGTTTGAAGTGAAAAACTTAAAGAAAATAAAAACTTATTATTTCATTTAATAAAGTTAAAAAAATTAAGTGGAAAACACAATGATCTGAATAGGAGTCAAGGCTTTGCAGTTACTTATAAGCCAACACAAACACTAAGCAATTCAGATCTTATATGGTATCTATTGAAGCATATATTGTATATATATTTATTAACATATACTGCTCCCTACAGTCAAAATAAATTACAATAATTAATAATTAAAATTGTTAAAAATTAAAGTTTCAGTTTCTTTTAAAAAAAAGAAAGAGCTGAGAAGGTTATTGGAGTCTATAATACTCTAATGTCTTTTTAGACAACCTATTGTTTCCAGAAAGTTTGTTGTGCCATTTAATTTTTGTGATTTTGTCTGGATTACCGTTCTTCCTTCATAAAACAATGATCACACTCCTCAATATATATACTTGTATATCCCACAACTCTTTAATGAAAAGATAAATAGGATATATTTTTTTAACGAATTCTTCTTTTTAATTCTGTTAGGATTTTTTTGATTTCTCATTTATTATATTTTTTAGTGCTTTAAGTTGGTACTTCGGTTGTTGCTTATTGTAATGCAATCAAACTTCCATAATTCGAGGTACCATTTTGCAAAGTTAATGTTCGAATTATGGAGACTACGAGTTAAAGAATTTTTGTGTAACTGTATGTAATTTGCTCTTTAAACCCTGTTGTACTCTATTTAGTTAGAGTTATAGAAAATTCGTTTGACTGTAACATATATATGTATATTTCAACTAAACTAACAGATAATTGCATTTCTATATGAAATTTAATTTCATTAAATATAATTTATTTTATTTCAACTTTAATTGATGAATAAGAGTATTTTTGGTCGCATTGAA